TCATCATACTACTCACTGATGTACATATTTATAAAAGACACACAGAGAAAGCTCATCAATCAAGTGATTCCATAAATTAGCTGAGACCATGATACCCAGGTGTCATCAAAGATGAATCACCATTCAAGTAATAAGGGTGCCAACAACTCTGGCCTTAACTGAGCCTTTTGCAAACATCCAATGTGGCCTCATTACTAGGTAGTAATCTAGTATTCAGGAAAAGGAAAAAAGAAATTCAGTACAGATGAAGTCGCCACACACAGTCTCATAGCCAGAATTCTGCTTGTTGTAAAGGGCTCCACTTTCTTAGATCTGTAAGAAGGATCAAATGTAGAAAGAGATCCAAGCTTGTGGTGAATGGTGAACTGAAGTGCGATACTGGAAACAGGATGGTGACAGAAATGACACAAGGGTCTAGAGGAGCCCAACTTCAACAGGTGCTACACAGGAATGCTGGGAAAGAGCAACAGATGGACTACATGGACATGCACCCCTCAGGAGGAAGTAGGTGACTCTGACTCTGAAAAATGGCACTGGATGGGTTATGAGACAGAGAGGCATTGTGACATACAGGTCCTGCAAACTGTGGCTATAGCCACAAACCAAAGGAAAATCTTCAAATGTTTTCAGTGCGAAAAGAGCTCCTGCTGCACATCACTGACTCTAGGCACATCCACACCCCCGGAGAGGAATGCAGTTTGTACTGTCAACTGCTAATTAAGGGCTAATGAAGACAGCTGTTTGATAACACCTTAAATTAATGAAAGTACAGTAACTGTTTTACTGGAAATGGATTAAAAATGTAAATGACTATTGCAGCGATTTTTGGCCTAAAGAATTGTATATTTTGAAAACACCAGTTAGTTGTAATGAGAAAACTTTTTTCTCCTAGTGTAGGATGGGCAGTTGTTACGACAGTGCTTCCATGATGGTAATTATGCTTTGTTAGGACACCCATTTGCCTTTTTTTTTTTTTAAGACAAAGTTTAACTTTATCACCCATGCAGTGCATGATCTCGGCTCACTGCCTTCTCTACCCCCTGGGGTCAAGTGATTCTCATGTCTCAGCTTCCTGAGTAGCTGGGATTACAGGCATGCCCCACTACACCTGGCTAATTTTTGTATTTTTAGTGGAGATGGGGTTTTACCATGTCAGACGGGCCGGTCTTGAACTCCTGACCTCAAGGGATCAGTGTGCCTCTGCCTTCCAAAGTGCTGGGATTACAGGTATGAGCCACCATGCCCAAACTCCCATTTTCTTTTAAACTATTAGTAACTCTCCATGACACTGAGCTTGCTACTGAGTTTCCTTACATAGCATCAGAGATAATATTTAGTTTTAAACACAAGACAAAATTAGAAAGTTGCTCAAAAGGTCAACAGTAGGATGTCAACACATTGCCTTGGAGAAAGAAAACAATGAACTCTGGAAGCTTTTTACAAACAAGAGTTGTAAAACAATGCAAGACCCTTAGGATGATTATGAGCTTGAGAAGAAAAATGTGGTTATAGCCAAAAGTTGAAGGTTTTTAAGAAAAAGAAAAGAACTTTCAGATTTTAAAAATGTATTTATCTTGGGTCTCACTTTTTTTCTGGGTTTCACTGAGTTGTTTGTTTTTTTGTTTTGCTTTTAGATAAAACATGCATTTATGTTGGGTTTCACTAATTTTTCCTGATAGCTATTGTATTATGTAAGATAAATGGGCCTAAATTATAGCATAACAAGATTCATATAAAGGGTAGGAAATAGCATTTTGTCTCTGAGGCATTCAAATCTCTTGAACATGGCTAGTTCACAAAGAGAAGCATGTGGAACCTAGGTAAACAGAAGGCATTCAATATATATTTGCTGAATGAAGAAACAGCCTAACACAATTCAAAAGTATTACACAGACTGGGTCATGATTTCTCGATGGAAACTCATAAGAAGAGTTGAAGGAAAAATGAGCCTTTAAATCCTGGCTTTCCAAGGTGCTCCAGACTGAAGAACCATTAGTCTCTGCCTAGTTTTGCTTTCTTTTGTCTTTGAGAGCAACTGGCCTGCCTGCCTTTTCCCCACTCAAAAAGGTCAGAAACAAACAAACAAACAAAACTAATAAAAACAAAAAAATCCCCACCCTGTTGTTAGTTTACCTTATTTCTTCCCTTGACCAGGTCACCAGAGGTTTAATCCCCTCGTCCAGCAACTCCATGTTTCTTTACATTAAAGAGGACACAGAAGCTGTCCCTGCCAGGTGAGTCCTTGGGGACGGGGCAGAATGTGCACTGCCTTGGCATGGGAGGCATGTGACATGGTATTCAAGGAATCATGTGCCACCATAAAACAATCTATGCCTAGGTGCTGGTGTTAGATGCACTATATCTGAGGCAGCCAGCAGCAATGGGTAGAGCATGTGCTTGCATGCAGAAGTATGCTATGGGGGTATTTTTTTAAGAATATGTCAAAAAGTGTGGTGTCTCACTGATAACAATGCTGTCTACAGAAAAGCAAAGGTTGAAAATATGTGTGTGGAAGACACACAGTTTTGTAGATATGTCATGGTTTTGTAGATAGGATACAGTTTTGGTCAGGTTATATAACTGATAGTATTTGTGAGTTCTTGGATGTTAGCTATAGGATATTAGATATGGGTAAATTTGGGTTCAACAGAGCTGGACAATAAGCACATTCCCTACCAAGCTACTGAGAGCCACAGCAATTCTAATGTAAAAATAAGAGAGCATAATTATTCAAATATAGGGTCTTTCTTGAGGCCCATGCACTGATAAATGGAGAGATTCCCATTCAAACAGATCATCAGCATAATAAATAATTTAAAATCATTTAAGACCATTACATGTACCATTTGTACCCGTACAAATGATGGTGCCTAGGTAATATTTCAAAGTGTCTTCTAGTCTTAAAGGTTTCTGATATCATTCAATATTAAAAGGGTTAGTTTCCAAAAGGCTGTCTGGGCCTTACAGAGAACACAAATGAGTCCTAATAAGATATATCTACAGCTTTTTGGCCAGATCCATACCAGTAAAATTAAGCAGAAACTTAAATAATGTACTTATTAAGGAAATAAACCAAAGCACTTTGGGCTAAATTATCCACTGGACATTTATGTCTTTTGATCTCAATATGATGCTGAATTTCTCTAATATTTGTTGTATATAGACTCAACATAACTATAAATACAAATATAATCTCAATTTGTGAAATCTCAGAGGCAAGATGAAACCCATATTATTGTTATGATTTGAACTGAAGAACTATTTTCTAAGGAATGGCATTATTTCATTTTATCAAAAAGAAATTACAAACTATAGGGTAATGCTGACAGGAACTCTGTTTATGCATTAATATTTACATAGATTAATAGCAGTGATCCTGAACCAATACGTAGTAGAGCTGAGAGTCAAATTTAGGTGAGAAAGATCGCTTATTAAAACCATTATCATATTACTTGGCAGATGAACTGCATATAGTGAGGTGCTGGTATTCTCCTAATTTTATTTAGTTATTTAAAGATTCAGTTTCTGCAGTGGACAATGAACAGGTTTTCTTAGTCTTGCTCATGGGAAGAACGTAAAAATTCATACGAAACATTTAGCTTAGCTTAAAGAAGCTAATGAGTTCAAAACACTTACAAAGATAATGCTTCCTGAATCACTGGGAAAGCTAAATGGTATATCTATTTATTTGGCTAAAAAAAAGAATCTTTTTTATCTAATATGGCTGGTATCAATGATTCATAAAACTACTGCAGTTCAAATTTTAGCTTTAGTGCAAAGAGTGAGATGAACAGACCTACTAAATAAAATTCTTGACACAGCTATCTACCTTTCCACTGTAAAAAATAATGGCTGACTACGTCTAGCAGAGTTAGGTCAGTGTGCTTAGTTATATAAATAGAGAGTATACTTTAATAGCATCAGCTGTTCTATTCAAACAAAAAGGAAAAAGTCAGCAGAGGTGACTGGCAAGTTGTGATCTACAGCCATTTTTATTTCCTAAATTGACCGTATGTCTCCTTGACCTGAGAATTTCCAAGTCCTTTATTCTATAACATGAATACAACTTTTCAAGACTTTATCGTATTAATGCTACGTTTAGAATTAAAGCTTACGGTGATACTATTAGGTAAGTAATCTTTTCAGACAGGTTTAATTAATTTATGGATCATTGCTCTCAATTCATATTTCTTTTACTTTAATATTTCTATTTCAAATATCCCACTGTTACTGCTCTTTGTCAGAATGTCTTCTAGACAATTGGTCTACAGAGATTGTAGGTACATACAATAAATTACAAAAATAATATAAAACTGCAAATGCAATTCATACAAAAGTAATGCTTCTAAAACAGTGTTGTGGTCAAAGGAGATGAGCTAACTGCAAATGTGTGCTCAGTATGTGTGTGCAGGGGCAGTAAGAAGATTTCTGTAAAAACACTGCCAACGACTCATACACGTAGCTAAACGAACCTTGGCAACCAAAGTAAATGGAGGTCAAGAATATCTTTGGAATGTACACAGAAAAGTAGGATAAAAAAGTGGCCAAATACAAAATTCTACTGATACTTATTTGAGATGACTAAATGTTAAAAAGTTATTTTTATACTGTATCCTTGAATATAAATTGTCTTCCAGATAGCTTTTATGAATGTACCCAATGTGTATACATTTTACATCACTTTTTGACTGACAAATTTATAATTTGTTATGTTCCTATAACTAGTAACTCATTGTTAGTTGTCATTACTGTAATGGGCTAGAATATGCTACATATCTACAGTTTCAATATACAAAATAATATGTAGGAAAATGACAAAAACACTGTTGAAATAATTATTTAGTTATAAATTTTTTAATTCATGAATAAAATATTTTTGTGTTTTAGGATAGGCCTACTTTCTAAACTTACTAGTTATTTGAAGCACATTTTTAATATATATGCATATCTATATAAAGCTCTCTCTGAGTTAGGATTTTCCATTTCTGGTTAAATCATACCTTTCACATCTTCATCCTCAATTGTTGTATTTGAACTCTCAGTTGACTCCTGATGAGAAGAAAACACATTTTTAGGTTGCATGCAATGAAAGCTTGATTTTGTCTTTAAAAATTGGCTAGTAACATACATATCATGCAAAATTCTTCAGCAGGCTATGTGCATATGCTGACATGCAAATGGACAAAAAACATTAAGTGGTTTTTAACAGAAACAAAATGTCTGATGCTGCAAACATTTCAAACAGGGAGTACTCTGGCTGCCCAATCTCCAAAGCTGTATAAATCCAGGTAATTTGAGGAACCAGCAGAAGTATGCAGTTTATTTAAAAAACTGTGTAAGGATGTGTTTGTGTTACAGTGCCCTTTAAGGTGTGCTTTTTCTCTGTGTTTACAAGCAATTGAATATATTAGCTGCATGAATTTGAAACTTAAAATAGAACAATTTTTTATTTCCAGTTAATTAATCAATAAAGAATGCGTTATTTTTTTCAGGCACTATGTTAAGGCCTATGCCTTACTCCTTTATAGGGAGATAAAGCATTTCACCATATCATTTGATGAAGAACTGAGGGGATTAAGCTGAGATATGCTGAAAGTACTTTTGAGAAGAATTTTCATGCCTGTCATCAGCACAATGGAATTATAATGAATAATTTACTTTTGATGACAATTTGATTTTTTTTCACTCTTTTCAAAATTAGAAACTGGATGTTATTGATAAGAAACCTACTTCCATAATAAAAAGACAAAGCTCTTTCTTTGTAAAACTACAAATTAAGTGGAAGATTGTTAAGCACACTTAAAAGTACACTGTAACTGCCAAAATTAAGATATATTTCTTAAAATGGTATGATAAATGTGTTTATTAATAATGTATGAATAAAAATATTCTAGCAAATAAATTTTGCAATGTTCATAAGAAAGAGATAGTTTTCTACTTGGAATGATTTAATGCTAGAATCAAAAATAACTGGAGGCCGGGCGCGGTGGCTCACGCCTGTAATCCCAGCACTTTGGGAGGCCGAGGCAGGTGGATCACGAGGTCAAGAGATCGAGACCATCCTGGTCAACATGGTGAAACCCCGTCTCTACT